TGCCTTTCTCATCTCTGTACTACAGAAAAAGAAGGAAAAATATCAAGGTAAAGCTCCAACAACTGCCCTGTCTCCTGAAAGGCATGTCAAAGCTTTGGAAGAGGAAGAAATGGAAGAATTTGATGCATGGCTGATGGAGAAAAAGAGAAAAGAATCTCTCATGAAGTTTCTTAATAGTGCCCTTGAGGAAGGAGAACCCTCCACAGCAAATGATATTGCTCTAACCATGGAGAAGCTGATCAAGGAATGGAGAGAATCCATGTTCTCAGAAATTGTTCTTGAGGTAATCTCTACACCTCCTCCTTCCCCTCCCAAATCTCCTGTTAATCAACCATCACCTTCCAAATCCCCCTCTAAACCTTCATCTTCACCCCAACAGAAAACCCTTTCACACCAACCTATTCCTCAACCTATAATCCCATTTCCCCAGAGTTCACCTCATCAGGAATCCTTACCACCCTCCAGATCTGCCTCACCACAGAGATCATCCCACCACTCTGCAGCCTCTACACCAAAGAAGAAACCAATCTTCAGAGTCCCTTCTTCAGACAGTGACAATGATGGTTTCCTCACCTCCTCCATTGCGGCTGATGAAACTTCTAAAAGGAGAAGGACACCTCCAAGAGTTCCTTCCCCTCCACCATCCACCAGAGCTCCTCCATTACCCAAGGGCAGAGGATTGGAGATGCCAGGATTTACACCTGAAGAACCCCAGATTCCCTTCAACCAGTTTGTGAAATCTGCAGAACAATTTGGTGGTCTGTTAGTTCATGATCTGAGCAAGATCATTGAGCTGAATGACAAGCATCATGAAGAGTTAACCCATACCAACCTTCAAATCACAATCGGATTCCAGCATATGACAGACAAGGTTGCTGCACTGTCAGAAACTCTGCACAACTTCATGCATTCATCTTCATTGAAAATAGATTCCGTCTCCAGAGATGTCAGTGGTATCAACTCTGTTCTCCACTCTCACTCTCAAGCTCTACTTGCCCAGCACCAGACAATCAAGCAGATCTCAGATTCTGTTAATAATCTTCAGAAATCTGCTGATAGTTCATCTCAGAAACTCACAGTCTTACACTCCCTCTGCAAGGAGCATCAAGAGCAAGGCCTAACTCTCATCAAGTCTGATAAGGAAAGATACCAGAAGATGGTTCTCCTAGAAGTCAGCACTAAGGATCTTCAATCTGCAGTCGACAAGCAACAGAGCCTGATTGAAGGACTTGCCTCTATCACTCAAACTCTGCCAGAAACTCTTGATGAGATCAGAGATGCCCAAGCCTCTGAGTTCTCAAAGATTGAGATCCTCCTTGGTGATCTTTGTGATGCCAAAAAGGGGGAAGATACCACAGAAGAGGAAGGACCTAGCTCCAGAGCTCTATCTATCAGAGAACCCTCCTCTACTGTTGATCCTGCTCCATACTTTGATGCAACCAGAAAGAAGAGACTAGCTGCTGCAGGTACCAGACCTCCACCTCCTCCTCCAAGAAGCTCAAAGAAAAAGACCTCCTCATTTTCATTCAATGATTGGATGAAGAGTGGTCTGTCAAGGCCAGACAGAGTTCAGTTTGAACAAATGAGGAAGCTGATGACTCCTCTTCAAAGAGAGAATCTGTTCATGGATAGTGATGGACTTGTCCAGATCAACCATGGTGGTTCTATCCAAGAAGCAGAAATGTGGTACGGAATGAAGATTCTCACTGGCAAGAACTCTGCAGAAGCTGTTCGAAATTATTTGGACTGCAAACTTGCACCCCATTGGGCTGACTATCAGAATCCGAGGGATCTAGCCTCAATCAGCGCTAAGGTAAATGCAGAACTCGAAAGGATTGACAGACAGGACCACAGGTAGATGAAGAAGACCTCTAACTCTCTATCTCTGACTCTGTAATGCTTTATTTTCTCTATCAGATAAATAAGATACCAACTCTGCCTCTTTTTGCATGGCTTATTCAAATATCTGTTCTTATTCACCTTCTTTGTGTTTATTCTGTTACCTTATTTGCTTTAATTGCTATCTGAATGTATCGTACTCTTACTATTCTCCTATGCTAAGTTGCCCACCAAGATTCTAATGAAAAGTTTTAAACTTTATTTTTTATGGTGAAAGGCACTTCTATGGAAATAGTTAAAGGGTTTTGGCATCATCAAAAAGGGGGAAATTGTAAGGAATAAATGTATTTAGATTTTGATGATGCTAGGTTAATTAGAATTTGAAAGTACCCCTTTAGAAATTTTGTATTAGAATTTCTTCTGTAAGTTTTAGCTTAGTCTTCGTGCCAGAGAACCACCTTGCTTCTACCAGAGTTGCTCCCAGAGCTGCTCACCAGAGAAGCCATCAGAAACTGGTCATTAGTGTTGATACCAGAGTTGGCAATAGAGGCGGACTTCAAAGATTGAACCAGAGAGCCTCATAAGACTCTGCTAAACACACCAGATTCCGAAAGCACTTTCCAACGGTCGTTAAACTAACGGGAAATCCCCTAACGGTTACGAACCTTTCAACGGAAACATGGTACTGTACACACATTAAATGCACATTTAATGATGTACGTACGAAGAGATATTTAAAGCTGATGATTGACCATGCGAGTATCTTTACGCCCCCAAAATAGCAAGTCGGAGGTCCAACCGGTCAAGTCAACAGTACAAGCATTTAATGAAGCTGTCTTCTACACTCCAACGGGAAGACTGCTCCCAGTATATAAGATACACTCTGAAGAACTATGGGAATAACTTTTGCTACAACTCTGCAAAAAAACGAACTTGCTCAAAGCCTTCTTGAGATTCAAACTTCATTCTTAACAAGAAAAGGCTACAGTTGGAAGATACATTTTCTAATCCCTTATCCAACTAGCAAGTTGCAAAGTTACTCAGTTCTTCAACACTTCGAAAACTTCATCTACTCATCCTTTGTGAAGAAGCAACGTTGGAGAAAACTGATTTTGAATCAAACACTTCTTGAAAAAGAAGGGACGTCTCAAACTAGCTGGAGTAAGTGAAGTGGGGATACTTCAAGAGACTCAGTGAAACGAGACCAGCCATCAGGAAGCAGGACTACATCCCGAGTGGCAACTAGACTTGAAGAAGACGAGGAGTGCTTCTTAAGATCTAGGGACTATGGCGTTGTAAACTGTTGTTTTTGCAAGCTTAGTGGAACAGTGGACTAGAGGAACAAGTTGTTCCTTGAACCACTATAAAAACTCCGGTGTCATTTACTTTAAGCTTTTAATTCCCGCACTTAAGATTCTACTGATTAACTCTTAAGGTTGGACTCTGTGTCCAGCAGATCTTCTTTCAGAGTTATCAGAAAGGCACTTTGCCTTAGCACTTTTTCTTGAGGCTACCCTGAACAGAAACTTATCCGCTGCCTGTTCTAGTTCTGCCATCAGAACCTGACCATCTCTGTCACCAGATTTCGACCATCTCTGAAAAGTCAGTTTTGACTTAGAGAAAAGTTTAAATTCCTGAACAGTCTATTCACCCCCCCTCTAGATTGTTCCCATTACAAACGGGACCAACAGTCTTCCTCAAGGTGACACCTTGATTGAGAAGCAGTTCAGAGATGAGCAACTCATGGCCTAACTTCCCAGAATATAGGCCTGTCTTGGGGTTCTTCTTTTTGATGAACTCAATCAGGGACCGTACCATAACTCGTCCCCAGTTGACGTTTACTCCATGATGTACTGCATAGAGGGCCTTGGCATTTGCAGTAGTGACATCATCAGTGGAGGTATACTTGCACCATAAACATTTGTGGAAAATGTTGATGAGCAGCTCAAAATCCTTCTTGAGCAGGTGTTTCTTGATGTTCACCTTTTCCACTTCTTCACCTTTTCTGCAGTAGTTCCTTTTGAATTTAGGAACAGTGATGTCAGCTTCTTCTAGATCAAATAGAGAGGCCCTGCCTTCTTCTAGTTGAATGTCAAAAACTTTGTTGATGACATCAGCATCAACCAATATCTCTTCTCCGTGGACTCTAAAGGTGATGGATTCATCTTTGTAGGACGCGTTGAGGTAGAATTCAACAGTATCAATGTTGCTGTAGACTTCATAAGTGTAGGAGATGACCTTGCTTAGTTGGCATTCTGTCAGTCCGTCAATGATGTTGGTCATTCTTTCTCCTTTTTCTGCAAATCTGGGTAGTACTTCCAGTTTGCACTTCATCCCTGTCAACACATTCTTGAGCAGGGTTGCTTTTTGTTCCTTGGAGAGGTCGGTGAAGTTCAAGAAAGCCATAGACGGATTTAGCGGTTGAGAGTTTTTAGAGAGATAAGGATTCGAAAGCTTGACAGTAATGAAAGCAGTAGCGATTTAGGTTGAAATGAGGAGAATATATGGGTACGGGTTAGTCGACGTTTGAGATTATTTGCAGTTCCAAGGTACCAATAAATGAAAATGGGGGCGCAGTAACTATTTTGCGGCTGTTATACCGTTTAAGGGTAAAAGGGTAAAAGACCTTTAATAAGTTACTAGGTCACCCGCCTTTTCAAAATTTTCTAAGTCCACAACCTTTTCTGTTATATGTAAGAAGAGGTTTTCTGAAGGAAGGAAGGGAGGGTTTCTGTTGCTGAGGTGTTCTGTCAGGAACGGAGGTTCTCTGTTCAGGATAGAGAACAGAAGGGGTTAACAGAAGGGGTTCGGCAACAGATATTCTGTTAGCAGAGAGTATGCAACAGAGGGCCTTCCTTTTCAACTTTCTCTTGGAATTTCATCCATCATTCCCAATTCCTCTCTCAGTTTGTTGAATCTAGCCTCAGGTAGAGGCTTTGTCAGAATGTCTGCAAGCTGGTCTTCTGTTGGCACATGCTCCATGCATATGTGCTTCTTTTCAACATGATCTCTGATGAAGTGATGTCTGATCTCAATGTGCTTTGTCCTGAAGTGAAGAACTGGATTCTGAGTGATGGCAATGGCACTGGTGTTGTCAAATAGCAGTTTGATCTCCTTTGCTTGAATGTCATAATCCTTCAGCTGTTGCTTCATCCAGAGTAGCTGAGCACAAGATAGAGAGAGTTGAGAGCGTCTCTCACTAGGAATTCGATCCTAGGTTGCTCTCTCTTCCCCGTCCGGTTACCGGCGCCACCGCCCACGGTGGTGCGCCGCCGGAGCCCTCACGGCTCCGGTAGGCTAATTCTTGGCAACAACTTAGTATTTTTGGAAAATTTCAGTTCTTGGAAGGTTGAGGTTCTGCCGGAAGTGGCCGGCTATTTCCGATGGCGGCCAAACACCTTATACCTCGGGGTGAAGTTCTAATAGCACCGGTCATCACTGATAAACCGGCCGGGGTCATTGCGTGTTGGGGGTGCATGTACAGTGACGAGGATTGGGGAAGGTAATGGTCCGGTGACGAAAAGGTTCTTTGCCCGGAGGTAGATGCGTGGATAGTTCGCCGGAGGAATTCTGGTGATGGAAGGTGGTATCGCTGTTGTTTAAGAACATTGAGTTCTTGGGTTTGGTTGTGCTGAGTTCTTCCATAGATGAGCTACTGCTAGAAGTTGAGGGGGTTCCGATGGAGGTTCTAACAACTTCAACAATGGGGTTGAACTCCTGGACTGACCGACCATTGCTGATGACCTGGACGGCCGGGGTCGTTGCGTGTGGGGGTGGCACGTACAATGACGAGTCTGGGGAAGATGAAGGCCTGGGGATGTTGTAAAGGTGTTTTGACCACTGGTTTAAAGGTTGGAAGGGTCACCGGAGATAGCCCTTGAGATGGACGGTGGAGGCTTTGGCATGGATTCCGGTTCGAAGGTTTGTGTTTTCTTCTGCTTTCTATCTTGGGAGATGGCTCGTCTGGAAGAAGCCTGAACTTTACTCTTGGAAGCACCAGCCACCGTTGAAGGACCGGCCAGTGGCTCATGCGTGTGGAGGGAGGCACGTACAGGGGCAGGGTCCGGAGAAGATACTGGCTGGGGCCGATAAAGGGGGTGCTTGGTGACGGATAGACTGGGTGGATACCAAAGATTAGAAGAGCATGGGTTTTCTTGCCGGAGAAGACAACCGGAGAGATGGTCTGGGAGTGCGTTACTGGTGAGAACGACTGGTGGGTGTGGTGCGAACCTAATGCCAATTAGTTTGGGTTCTACCGGATTGGATTTGTGTTTGGATAATATCATGCTTGAAAGTGGACAGGGTTCGCCGGAGAAGATGACCGGCTTGCCGGGAAACAATACCGCCTGTAGCTACATTCTTTTGTTTTCCGGCTATTGTTGATGCGCCACCGTGTCGTCATCTCATCTTTGCCGCCGAGGGTCGCCGGGGCTCGACGGGGGTGGGTGGTGGTAGGTGGAGGTTCGGGTCAACAGGGGTTCTATCCGACTGGTTTATTCGTACTCTTTTCCGGCCACCGGAAAACCTGGTGGATGCCGGTGCTAGGTGGGGTGGTTCGGGAAAGGGGGGGGGGCTTACTGACTGATGGACAGATGGCCACATGCCAGGCGACCAGACTGTCAGTGTTGACTTTGTTCTTTATTTTGAAATTCAAATTCGAATTCAAGGAAGCGGCGCAACAAGGTAGCGATGGAGGGCTGAGGGTTTTTGGGCCGTTGCCCTAATATCTGGCCGGGTTATGCGCGGATGGGCCGCTGACTAAAGCTACTTCGGGCCCAAATGCAGCACCCAGGCCTAGCCGAACTGTTGCTCGGAACAAGTGAAGTCTGGGTGTGGTAAAAGTTTGGTGGGCTGCTGCTGGGCTATTTTTGATGGGTTTTGGGACTTAAGAAATTCTGGGAATTTTGAACTGTTTTGATCGCTGAGCCGGGGAATATGTCTCGTGCCAGTTATGGAGTTTATTTTGGATTTTGTGCCGGGGTTACTATTATAGTTAGTTTTAGACTAGTTTAGATTTTTTGTGATGCATTTGTATATGCTATTTTCTGGATATAATACATTTACATTTTATCCAAAAAAAAAAGAGTAGCTGAGCACAGCAACTCCCAGCTGCAATGTATTCAGCTTCTGCTGTACTCGTTGAGATTGAATTCTGCTTCTTGCTAAACCAGGAAACAAGCCTTCCTCCTAGCATTTGACAGTGACCAGAGGTGCTCTTCCTGTCTAATCTGCAACCTGCAAAATCTGAGTCAGAGTAACCAATTAGTTCAAAGTTACCTCCCTTTGGATACCATAGGCCTGCATTTGGATTCCCTTTGATATATCTGATGATTCTCTTTGCAGCGCTAAGATGGCTCTCCTTGGGCTTTGATTGGTATCTGGCGCAGATTCCAACAGAGAATGAGATATATGGTCTGCTTGCAGTCAGTCAGATACAGCAGAGATCCTATGATTCCTCTGTAGGTAGTTGCATCGACATCCTTTCCTTCATCATGCAGATCAATTCCTTGTGAGGTGTTCATGGGAATCTTCACTGAGGATTTGCCTTCCACTCCAAACTTCTTGATCAGGTCTCTGGTATACTTCCCTTGATTGATAAAGATTCCTTCTGGAACTTGTTTGACTTGTAGTCCTAGGAAGTAGCTGAGTTCTCCCATCATACTCATTTCAAATTGACTCTGCATTACTTGAGAGAATTTCTTGCACAGTTCTGAATTAGTACTACCAAATATAATATCATCAACATATATTTGTACTAACAGAATATGATTAGCAACAGATTTTTTGAAATAGAGTTTTGTCAGCCTTTCCCTTAGTAAACCCATGGTTCACTAGGAATAGGGACAATGTGTCATACCATGCTCTGGGAGCTTGCTTAAGACCATAGAGGGCCTTTTTAAGCTTGTAGACACAGGAGGAGTGAGTAGGAATGACAAAACCTGGTGGTTGTTCCACATAAACTTCTTCTTCAAGATCTCCATTCAGAAATGCACTCTTGACATCCATCTGGTAGACCTTGATGTTGTTGTAGGTAGCATAGGCTAGAAATATTCTGATGGCTTCCAGTCTGGCAACCGGTGCAAAAGTCTCATCAAAATCTATTCCTTCTTCTTGTCAATAACCCTTAGCTACCAGCCTTGCTTTATTCCTTACAATGTTCCCATCTTCATCAGCTTTGTTCTTGAAAACCCATTTTGTTCCAATGACATTTTGGTGCTTTGCCTAGGAACAAGTTCCCATACTTTGTTCCTTTCAAATTGAGTAAGCTCTTCTTGCATTGCATTGATCCAATCTGAGTCTGCAAGAGCTTCTTCTACAGTCATGGGTTCCATCTGAGATATATAGCAGACAAGCATTGCTTCTCTCCTTGTTGATGTTGATCTGGTCTGCACACCACTTCTGATAGGTCCAATTACTTGATTAGGGGGATGGTCTCTTAACCATGTCAGATCTGGTTCGTTAGTTGTTGTCTGGGTCTCTCTGGTTCTTCATCTTCTGAGTCTTCATCTTCATTCAACAGAAGGGGGTTTGGTGCAGGTGTTGGAAATGCAGGGGTTATCTGCTACCTCTTCTGTTGGTTCTGGTGTTCTGTCTTCTATGCTGACTTCTTTGAAGATCTCTGTTACTTCTTTAACAGAGGTGCTATTATCAAACTTCACATGTATAGATTCTTCAACATGTAGAGTCCTTCTGTTGAGTATTCTATAGGCTTTACTGGTGTTTGAATAGCCTATAAAGATACCTTCATCAGCTTTCTCTTGAAAGACTTTCAGATGCTCCTTTCCATTGTTAAGGATGTAGCATTTGCATCCAAACACATGAAAGTAACTGATGTTGGGTTTTCTTCCTTTCCAGAGTTCATAAAGGGTCTTCTGGTGATTCTTGTTGATCATGCTTCTGTTCTGGGTATAGCATGCAGTGTTGATTGCTTCAGCCCAGTATCTCATAGGTAGTCCAGATTCTGCAATCATTGTCCTTGCAGCTTCTTTTAATGTTCTGTTCCTTCTTTCTGTTACGCCATTCTGTTGAGGGGTTCTGGCGGCAGAGAGTTGATGAAAGGTTCCATTTTGATCACAGAAGTCCTTTATGACTTGGTTGACAAATTCAGTTCCTCTGTCAGACCTGATTGTCTTAACCTTCAAGTTCTTCTCAGTCTGAAGTTGCTTTAACAGAGATGGCAACTTCTGAAGAGTTTCATTCTTCTTTGATAGAAAGATAGTCCATGTATATCTGGAATATTCATCAACCATGACTAGAGTGTATTTCTTCCCACCAACACTTGGAGTCTCAACAGGTCCAAATAAATCCATGTGGATCAGATTTAAAGGACTTGTAGAAAGATCTCCAGCAATGGGTTTGAAAGAGTTATTCTGTTGCTTTCCCTTCTGGCATGCACTGCAGATGGTCTCTTTCTTGTAAACTATGTCTGGCAGTCCATCAACAATGTGTTCTCTTGTCTGTTTGTTGATTGTTTTGAAGTTCAAATGGCTAAGCTTCTTGTGCCAGTCCCAGCTTAGTTTTGAATCTCCCTTGGCTATCAGCCAAACTCCATCCTTTGCAGTGTTCCAATCAACCACATAGATGTTCTTCTTCCTTGATGCTGTAAGAACCACTTCTTTTGTTGTCTCATGCTTCACATAGCAGAAGTCCTTTGTGAATTCAACAGTGTAGCCTTTGTCACAGAATTAGCTAGCACTCAGCAAGTTGAACTTCAGTCCTTTGACATATGAGACATCATCAATGACTATCTGGTTCTTGATCTGCTTCCCTCTTCCTTTTGTTTGACCTTCTTTGTCATTACCTCCAAAGGTAACTCTAGGTCCTTTGCATTTCTGGAACTCAGTTAGGCAACTTCTGTCACCTGTCATGTGTCTGGAGCATCCACTATCAATAAACCATTCTTGCTCTGAGATAGCTCCAGCACACAGTTCCTGCAAGATCAAAAGAAAGATTTAGGTACCCAAGCAATGTTGGGTCCTGGGGGGTCATGGATTCTGGGTAGTTGGTACCATTTTGGTCTCATCAGGTGAAACCTTGGTGGATGGTACCCATTGTCCACCTTGTAGTTATAGTAAACCGAAGTGTGATTCAGTTTGGGCAGATGCTTGTGAGGGTCATGCTTCCTGTTTACATACTTTTGCATAGCTTTCTTTGTTGGAAAGAAGTCCCATATACTATCAAGAGCAGAGGGGCGGTTAACTTTGGGCTTCTGAAGTTGACCAGCCAACCTCTTCTGCCTAAAGTTAACTCTCTCTTGATATCTACCCTTCTGGTGGTCATTTCTGGCACGGTTATCATGAGGTTGTCTGTCAATGAATGGTCTTTTATTTTTGTTATTCTGAAAATCCTTTCTGTTGTTAGGTTTTCTGTCAGGTTCATTATTTTTCAAAAAGGGTTTCAGTTGAACCTTTATCTTCCCTTTTTCTGGTCTGACTTCCTCATGAACAACCTTGGTGCCAGATACACCAGCTTGGCAGATGGGGCTAGAAATCAGTGACACTATGACCTTATCTGCCTTAGCAACACTGGTGCTAGGCATTACAGAAGGCTCACCTGATTCTGTTGAGCCATAACCAAGACCAAAGCCAGTGCCAATTTGTTGATCAAGTAAAATCTTTTCCATGGAAGACTGGGCCTTCTGGTAAGCTTTGTACTTAATCTCAAGAGGCTCAATTTCTCTTATTCTCTTGAGAAGAGAAACATTTTCAGTTTCCAGCTGATCTCTCTCCTTAATTAGAAGATTGATTTTGATCTCAATCTCCTTTTTTAAGTCAAGAATTTCAGCCTTCAGCTTGCTGTTTTCTTCTGTGACAGAGGAATAAGTGGCTTGAATGGCCTTAAACTCTTCCCAAAATTCTGACATTGAATCAGAATCAAAAGCTAAGCCTACCAAAGAAAAACTAGATGCAGAAGTAGAGGTTACCTCATCATCAGAATGAGCCATGACGCATAGGTCTTCTGTCTCAGTATCGAGGCAACAGAAGGCCTCATCAGAGTCAGAGTCAGAACTGGATTCTGTCTCAGACAGACGGTCTTTCTCGATCTGTTCTGTCACGAGTGCTTTCCTTCTTCTGGAATTGTCTTCATACTTCTTCTTTTCTCCATCATGCCCTTGTTTCTTGGACACTCTTGGATGTGGACACTCTGCCTTGAAATGTCCAGGTTGTCTGCAGTTGTAACAGAGAAGCTCACCACTGCTCTCTGTTGTTTTGACCTTCTGGAAGGGCTTTCTGCTGAATGATGGACTTCTTCCATCTTTGGGATTCTTCATAAACTTCTTGAATCTCCTAGCAAGAGCAGCCATATATTCGTCAGTTAAAAGTACTGAGGGGTCAAAATCATTTACCTTTGATGTGCTGGCAGTGAGGGCTGTAGTAGTCCTCTCTTCTGGTACATCTTCTTTTTCTTCAATCATTTCAAACTCATGAGCTTTGAGATCTGAAATGAGCTTATCAATGGGATAAGTCTTCACATCCTTGCTGGCTTGGACAGCAACCACCTTCATCTTCCATGCTGAGGGCAGTCCTCTCAACACCTTGAGGTTGATCTCCTTGGTGGTGAGTTCCTTGCCAAGCTCAGAAATCTCTCCAGTGAGAGTGAGGAGCCTGTCATACATCTTGGAGATGCTTTCACCAGGAAGAAGCTTGAAGTCATCAAACTTCTTGTTGGCTATAGTCAGCTTGTTGTCCTTCTCTTGTTCATCACCAGCTCCAATGAGCTCAAGAGTATCCCAGATTTCCTTTGCAGTCTTGCACTTCTTTATCCTGTTGAAGTACCTATCATCGATGGACTTGTAAAGAATGTCTTTAGCAATGTTGTCCAGATTGTACTTCCTTGTTTCTTCAGTAGTCCACTCAGATTTGGCCTTATTGATCATCTGAGGTCTGGTGTTATCAATAGCATGTTCAGGGTTGACCTTCTGGAAGCTTGTGAAGGGCCCAATGTCAAGTACTTCCCACATCTCATCATGCAGAGCACAGAGATGTGCCTTCATTCGGATCCTCCAGTCATCAAACTTGAGATCTGAGAACATAAGATTCTTGGAAAGGAAGTGATCCATTATATCAGATTAAAAATGAGGTAACACAGAAAAACAAGTGGATCTTTGTTCTGTAAATAACCTAAGAGATTATTAGAACAATGAGGGTCTGATACCACTTGTTGGTCCCGATTGTA